TTGGCTCTGCAAATGCAGCGCCAACTTGTTAGATATTCTGCAGCCAACCTTTGAGTTTGGCTCTGCAAATGCAGCGCCAACTTGTTAGATATTCTGCAATCAACCTTTGTGTTTGGCTCTGCAAATGCAGCGCCAACTTGTTAGATATTCCGCAGCCAACCTTTGAGTTTGGCTCTACAAATGCAGCGCCAACTTGTTAGATATTCTGCAGCCAATCTTTGAGTTTGGCTCTGCAAATGCAGCGCCAACTTGGCACAAATGCTGCACAAGATCAACGCATATAAATTAAACGTTTTTTGTAGCTTTTTGTAGAATTTAGTAACACATAATTTTTTCTGGAAAAAAACTATTAAATATATCCGATTATTAAATATATCCGATTAGCATTATAAAATGCATTTTTAAACATTTGTGGACAATATTTGAAATATAGGTGCAATTTCGCAGGATTTTCTCTAAATAGAATATTTCACTTAGCTTTAGAACGTGTTATATAAAGATGGGTTATTACACATGCATGATTTGCAAAGTAAAATATCCATAATATATTATATAAAATAGTAAACATAACATGTAATATAGCATACTATACAAATTACAATACTTATATATAAATATAATATACTTATTTATAATAAATATAATTATGTCCGAGATTTTTTCATAGCCGCCATTTTGCCAGTAAGTGTCAAATCCAACGCCATCACTCTCTATATAGTAAAATCCAACGCCAACAGTCTCGCCGCCATTTTGCCAGTAAGTGAACATTACGGACACGCAAACATTAAGGAAATACGTCGAGTGGCACATCTTTATAGTATCTAATCTTTGCTCGTAGTTCACCTGCCTTACACTTCATGTAACACACAGTATATTGGTATAAGCCATGGCTGCCATTTCGTATTTTTTCTACAAACTTTTGCTGGTCGACTTCAGTTTTATGTTTACACTAAGAAGTTATGCCAACAAAAAGTGCTAGAGTTTGAACAGGATGCACAATTGCGACACATTATTACAGCAATGACACTGTCACAGTGATATGAAGGTAAAATCAGTGATGTCGAAACTTGAAAATGATTTGGATAGTTTATATGAGAGACAGGTAAGTTTCAGTAATATGTCTTTTCATATGGCACAGAAATGCCAACTTGGAAAGTAAAATAATGGTGTTTATGGACATCTGAGATATGCTATGACATAAAAGTATGTCTTTTGAATTTAAAAGAACCCAAAAATATCACATCCAAAATGTTTTCTTATCTCTTTACAAAATATAACCAAAATGGGTAAAATATTAGCTATATTTGCCATTTTTGGATACGCGGTCATATTCAATGGGGCCAAAAAACAGCATTTTGTATGTGAATTTAACTTTTTTTGTTATTTTTAGGTTAAAGAAAGATAAAACTTACTAAAAATTAAACTTATAGGATAATGGCAGTTAATCGACAGAATTTCTGAGGGGTGCGCCCTATCAGCGCAACCCCGGTCATATATATCAGCATGAAAACCCCCCGGTACAAATAGGTTAATAAATATGAATGTTGCAACCGAGCTAGATAACACAATAATCTATATCTTCCAAAAAAATTTGTATAATTGTGCATCATCAAGTCAGACCACCGAGGATGACTTAATATAAAAAAAGTCAGTGTTTATTAATTATATGAACTATTAAGATACTAAACTATTAAGGACCTGAAGACGAAAACAGAAAAGCATACCTTGACGCATGCATAGAAAGACTTCTTTCAAAATTGGACTTCCTAAGTCAAACAAGACTACTGTTGTGAAGTTTGGAATTCCATTAATAGAGGCCAGTCTGAACGACTACAAAAACTTCACAACAGATGTGCTAGAATTATAATGAACTTTAAAGATGAGCCTGGACAATCTCAACTGGCCCTCGATCAATTAGGGTGGATAAGCTTGGAAGAAAGGCGAAAACATAATATGGCCCGTCTCATGTTTAAGGTTGTCAATAATTTGGCACCATCGAGGTTCTCATCAATGTTCCAGAATTCTAACCATATCCACAGTTATAATTTACGAGGTTCAAATTCGTCTCTCTTTCTGCCACGACCAAATACCGAGTATGGCAGAAAATGTTTCGATATAGTGGGGTTAAAATCTGGAATAGCATTCCTGAACAAGTAAGAAACAGCGAATCTTTAAATTTTTTCAATAGAAATATTTCCTCTGTTAGTCTGACGAATTAGCTATTTGACTTTTGTATACCATTTGTTTTGTAATATGTATTTGTATTCGTAGTTCTTAATATTCTTAGTGATTTTGTATTTTATATATTTTTGTAACATTTATCTACGCCCCACTTGGAAAGCAGCTATGGTTGAAGTGGCCAGCGTAGTCAAATAAAGTTTTATCCTATCCTATCCTATCCTAAACCCAAGTAACAGTAAGTTGAGATTGCAACGCCTGTATCAATTATGAAAATTGTACTGTGCATGAAATTGTACCTGAGATTTTGTACAACTCGTACGTTATGGTTTTGAGAATATTTGGTGCATATTTGGTTTGAATGTATAGTGTAGTTCACCACTAAACCACGAAAGCAGCAGCTAAGAACTGGTAACAATTTCTAATATTCAATAATCAGGTAATGCGTATAGGTTAAGGGTCAAGTGCAAGAAGGTTATCCAGATAACTAACCCCCATTACCCACAATAACTTGTCACTGGCTCTTGGCAACTTCCCTCGTGGTTTAGTGGTTAAGAACACTGCACTGGAGTGGCAGGGACGCAAGATCGAGTCATGCCGGGCTGTCGTCGACGAACCTCCGATTTCCGATATACTTCGCAACCATTGCCGATTTGGTTTAATAATGTATACAGCTAATTCAATTAAGGTTGTCCAAAGAGAAAGGGAAAAGTCGAATATGAGCGCGAACGGTTGTCGAGAATGTTTACTATCATTCTAAAGAGGTTAATTAACCTTCATTTTTGAGACGTTTTTGGGAAGTTGAGCAAGCGCCCACTTTGATATAGGTTTTTCATTAAGATGAAAACTAAATCTGGCTTACTTATGAATATAAATTCCGAATAACTAGTATATAGAAGAAGATTTCTACATCGGCAGGAGCATGACGTTACCAGTCAAAGAATATAGTCCTAGATAGGCATGATTATAGTCCTCCTCCTAGTCAAAGACAAGAGTCACAAAGGCTTCATTTTGTTCCGTTTCTGTATTTTTAATCACCACTCCATGCAGGAAGCGTTTCGCGCTCGCATTCGACCTCTTCGCTTCGGGACAATCTTAATTGAATCAGCGGTATACATATATACTCCACTCTTCGTCCACTTACCTTCTACATAATTTCCAGATCGAGTAAATAACAACAATAAACCCCTTATAAAATTGACAGTTCTATTTTATTTATTATATAGATGCAAAATTTCTACACCTTATCAAAAACATTGCCGCTATCTTCCCTGGAGAAATCAGGAAGAACGAATTACATATATAGATGTTGTTTATAACATGGAGGTAAGACGTTAATGTACAATGAGTCAACGAACAGCTTTGCATATAGTGCATTGCTAATCAGGACTATTTCTGTTTAAAAATTTTCGAAATAAGTATATTTTAGTGTTACTGTACAATGAGTTGACAAACAGCTTTGCATGTATTGCATTGCTAATCAGTTATTTGTCTGTTTTAAAGTTTCGAGATAAGTATAAATAAGTTCTTATTTGACTTAGCCTTGTTTTCACTTGATTTTATGTAGAATCACGAGGACCCAGATCAATGGTTACAGCAAAGAAAGCTTGAAACTCCTGTACTGCTTATGGCAGAAACAAATACATTGTACCTTGTCGTAGGAAAGAAAATATTTTGTACTTTCAAGAATAATGAAATCCCAGAATCAGTTATTGGCTTACCTTCGTCGTATTACGCACTAGATTTTGACTACCCCCAAAGCCTCAAACTGTGTTTGTCCGTCCTGCAGTTTTTCTGTTTTGAATACAAGGCTACGCCGAGTGATCTATAGCCAAATCATTTAACAATGCCCTAGCTGAGTTTAACAAGTATGTGGCAACATGCCATGTTAATGAGTGAGTACAATTAGTATGAATAGTTTGAAGTGACAGTTTCTTGGACGATGGTTAACGATGTGTGAGAGAAGTGTTTGTATACTGTTTAGGCGCATATCATTGGTTTTAAATGACTGTTAACTTAGTTACATGTATTTACCTTTTTGATCTGTTATACACACATATATATATATATATATATATATATATATATATATATATATATATATATATATATATATATATATAGCTTAAGATTTTGGTTTACAAAACACAAACAGTGCTCAATACCATATAGATAGAGCGTAATATAGTTTTTCGTTATACCTCAAAAAATCACAACAGTCTGTTTCATCCGTATAGGAATCATCAGGTGCAATCACCACCTGATGATTCCTATACGGATGAAACAGACTGTTGTGGTTTTTTGAGGTATAACGAATATATATATATATGAAGAATTTCACATGAACGTTACAAATTACCAGTGACATTTCACATGTGAAAGGATTTCACATGAAATTGCAAATTACAAGTGAAATTTCACATATGTGGAAAAAATTTCACATGAAATTACAAGTGAAATTTCACATGTGAAAAGATAAGAATTTCACATGACATTACAAATTACAAAGTGAAATTTCACATGTACGTGAAAGGATTTCACATGAAATTACGACTGAAATTTCACATGTGAAAGGTTAATTTGCAAGAAATTACAAATCACAATGAAATTTCACATGTGAAAAGATTTCACATGAAATTAGAAGCAGTAGCAGCGCCAGGCCTCAGAAATTGGGGGGGGGGGATTTGAGGGGTAAACTCATATTTTTGGGGGGAGGCAAGATAGAATTGTAAAATAGATAGTGCTATTTGCTCATGCCTTTGTCATAGGACTTCCGTCCTCAAGGAGATCCCCCCCCCCCACCATAGGAATATCGCCCCCATATATGCGATGTGGTTTATTCAAATTTTGTGATACGTTCATCTTATTAGTGCCTTATAATTACACGTTTGAGAATTTAACTCTGCAAAACTAAAGCTTTTTTGTTTTGTTATTTGAGAGGTTATATATAGTCCATCAATATAAAGATAGGTATCGCGAATGTTTTACGCTAGAGATGTCACACTTACAGTTAATTTATAGCATAGTAATATAACATGCGGTTACTTTCGCATGCGGGTAACGGCTGAGTCAACTGCTAATTCGGGTACTCCGAAGATAAAGGACGTTTGCTTTATAATCGCTTATGGTCAATGTGACATTTCACATCTTTCTAGAGCAGAATTTGCCGATATAATTGTCGACGCATGGGTAGGAAGGAGCACTAAGTAGGTGGGAATGTCGGAGGCTCATGGAAATGGGGGTAGTCACTTCCACACGGCAAAAAAAATTGTCCATAAGATCGAGGTGGCGAGCTATTGGAAAGCTCGAGAAGAGTAAATGTGGCATTTAATTGAACTCAGTTCCGCAGACAATCTCAAAAATTACTATTCAGCGTATTCGTACGTGGTAAAGGAAGACCCGGACTAGGTGATTTCTCCAGGGCTTATAGACCTCCCCAATGCTGACGCGTTAGCGAGTAATAGCGCGACCCGCCGAAGCAAGAAAGTTGCACAGGCTTCCAAAAATATGTAACTCGAAAGGGACTCGCGCGCAGTATACGGCGTTGTACGCATTATACAACACAAAGTTAGTGTTATACGCTAATTATGCTAATAAGCGTTTCCGGACGAGACGAATGCGATGAAACTAACATCGGTTGACACTTCGATTGTCACTATAGAAATATGAAATAACAGGCAAGTAGACATCTTTTAAAACAGAACAAGGCTAAGAATAATCTGTTGAGAATGTCTAACAATGTATTTGCTTGATCATGTTCATCATCTGGGCCGTCGATTGTTTTTTCAGCGAGTTTCGAACTTTTCTTAATTGCCAGAATTTCCATCTATATCCAATGCCTAAGACGTTCGAATGTTTCTGGCTATTCAACAGCTGTGCTAGTTCTATGTTCCTCATTTACCATGTTGTTTATGTTTCCCAAGATTTTTGTGGCGTAATTGTAGTTATGCGTCATCTGGTTAAGGAAAAATATTTTTATAAGGTCAATTTCGTTTTTTTGGCTATCGTGGTTTATGCTATTTATGTGGTGTCAAATAATATCGAAATATGGAGAGGCATGATTTATATCTTGGCCATCGTGGAGAAATTTCTCACTGTTATACTTATGTTCCTTCTCAACTTTTTACCAAGGTAATGGTTGCCCGAACATGCTAGCTAATCGTTGTCTTGGGCAAATATAATTACGAAAATTCGTCTTTTCAGCTTCTAGATATGTAGGTAAAGCCCGATGATCTCCAATCAGTGCCGTGACTCTTCGGGCGCCGCCTGGCTAAACCCAGGGACCGTATCAATTAGGGGGCGAATGAACAGGGGTGACAAATTTGCGAAGTTAGCGTATTACAGCACATTGTGCTTACCAGGAACCCTATTTTAGTTAATGCCGGGCCCTTTGGCACAAAGTTATGCCATTGCCTCCAAAGACAGAGCTATTGGACTTCAACTTCAGTCCGAAATGTTGTGCTTGACGACCATTTTGAAGAATAATGCTATGGTTGCATAGGCGTACCAGGCGGGGGGGGGGGTAGCCC